CTTAAAGCTTGGGCCAAGCCGGGACTCGAACCCGGGCCTCATTGGTGCAAAGTGAGGAAAGAACCACCACGCTAACCCGCTCCCCCTTCAGTACGACTTGCTCACTGACTGGCATTTTGAACCAAGGATGCAGTTCAATGCACAGCTTTGCAGTATCCAAACAATAGGTGTCAGAATAAGGCCACCCTTTCCTTGTTTTATGACCATTGTACTCCAAAGTATAGATAAATGTGTTTTCTTTCCCTTTCAGTTTGTCCAACCCTTTCGTTCTTATCCATGAGTTTCTTTACAACAGGCTGAATCTTGCAAGCCGTGGTTGACTGATCGTGATAACAATGTAGCTTCCTGCCACACAACGCCTGGGAGAGCATCTTCTCCACACCCCAACACGCACACACAATACACATCTGCGCTTTCTCTGCACACCCAGGATAGTCTTTTGTATTTTCACGAGTGTATGTTTAAATGTGAATGGAAATGATGTTAAGTTTGATTGAGGGGATGGAAATGAGATGCGAAGGGTGGTAAAGGTGATGAGAACTGGCGGCAAAGAAGAACGTCTCCCTGAATTCCATCTGTGTAGATATGTTGTCGCTTGGCCCAGCTGCAGCGAAATGATTTTTCTTCTTTAGGGCAATTCAGGCTCTAAAATTGTAAAACAAGCAGTCTGGCTTGTAGTAGGCAGCAGCTTGCCAAAAAAGTAGAATTTTTAGAGTGGCTACCGAGCAATTTTCTGCTTGATGTTTGTTTTCAACCCAACTTGAGGGAGACGAGTCAACAACATTGATCAGTAAACCGTAAGTTGAAGAATTGAATTGTTCTTTCTACTTTATTCAAAGGATGTCATTTTCATTAACGGACCTTTGGTATTTCCTTATTGAGGGTAGAGTTTGGAATTTGAATCGTTCGAGATGTGTTTTGATTGCTGATTTATTATAGTACTTGAACCAGAGACGCTTTAGTGACATGGAACACAAGTAATATTTTATGACGTTTGGGGAATAGAGTTAAGATGTTGCATCCATCCCGGTAAATGTCTTGATGCATGATTGCGGTTAAAACAGATATTTTGAGCGAGAATTACTGTAATAATGTGCTGGAAATTGCAGACAGCCTGCTCCGATGTTGAGATGAAGCGAGAGCCAGACGGATTGTCCTTGACACCGTGAGGGCCAAGAAAGCTGCGAGCTGTCTAATGACCGTCAGCCACATATGTACCTCAGGAGAAAGTAGGCTGGAGCAGCATTTCGAGTTCATGGGATGTGAGAGGTGCTCAGAGACATCAGAGACTTCATTCATGGCAGTTTGCATGAACTCTGAACCGTGGATAAGTGTTTGTCTCTGGCATCACTCGTAGAAGTGAACATTTTTGCCACGAAATTTGAATTATTGTATGAATAAGAACCAGACGTCCTAGGTGTAGTGACAAATGCAACTGTTGATAGTAATTAATTTCTCCTAACTTTTGGAGTAACCTCTGACTTGTGATATGCCATTATTGGCTCTGATTGTTCCTTGAGGTATTGCTGTTGGAAAAGTATTTTTAATTTAATAAAATGTGAGAAGTGTAAATTGAACCTGTGGACATTAATTCCTCGCGATTGTCATTGAGCACTGTTAGAGAAAGGCACTAGTTCTGACAGTAGGGTCCCAATATTTCGGGGCCTATGGGAAGTCCTGAGGATAAAGCGATCAGAATTACGGGAAGTAGATTCTCGTCAAGACCGCAGATGCTGGAGAATTTTGTTTTGAGCTGAAAGCTCTGCGCGCAGTATTTCCGTCATTTGAAGTTCCATATCCTGGCTTCGGTTGGTCAACTTTCAACCCAAGTTCTGATCTAAAAAGTTCCTGAATCTTTTTCTTTCTCTCTGCCATGACTGATCTGTCCTCATCTGACTGTATCCTCCACTTTTGGAACGGAAGTCTATATGCAATGTGAAGCATCATTTCGAAGCAACGAATCCATTGGTGTAGTGGGCAGAGTCCAAATTTCTGAGACGGGTTGTGGAAGATGGTGAATATTATTGAAGTCCTTAGGTGTGGCCCCGCAAGTGAAACATCGCATGGTTGAAGGAGTTTTAGTAATTGCATTGATGACTTTTCGGTCAATCGTGGTGAAGTGAAGATTGTACTTGACGTAGACGGTCTCCTTTCTAGCTAATTCGCCTTCTACTTGAATGTCAAGATCAACTGTTTTAGGTTGAAGTTGCTGGATTTCCGTCTCCTTGTTCTGATGTTCTTCCTGCGATAGCTCCTGTGTTTCTTGTTTGTATTGTAGATGGATTGGCCGACAAAAGCGCCTAGATGAAGGAACAGGGTTTTCCCATATTACTTGTTCCCTGTATTTCAGTTGCAATGGTACAAGTGTGGTGCAAAACCAACTCAAATCATCAGACTGTTCTGTGGTTGTGAATCTTTGTTTGTACTCACTTTGACCCGATGAGCCATGAAAACTCCATTTGCAAATTAAGTCAAGAAAGAGGGGACGTTCTCAATTGTTCGTGAACATTGTCCTGTCGTTGTTCCAATATACGAAGGGCTGTATAGTCTAGAAGACTTTGTAGAGACACTTTGACCGACTCTTCGCTCAGATCTATACTTTGTGGGTAGCACTTCTGCTTTGCTTCTCAAACAGCACTGTAAGGCGGGTAGACATCTGCATTTTTCTCTTTAGCGGCTGTTCTCAAGGTTTGATACGCAGACTTTGTCAAACCGGTTTCAATTAAAAGGACAAGTGCCTCGTCTGGAGTAAACTTCTCAGGTGCAGGTGGGGGTGAGGAAATTAGTTTTCTTAGCTTTGCAGGTTTTGACGGACTCTGAATGGTAAATTGAAGGACATATTTCAAGTCTGGGTTCCTCCCTTAAGCTCCTTGAGAAGCTGCAAAAAGAAGCTCCTGGTGCTCACTTTCCTGCAGCAGTGTTTGGGCCCTCCGTTGTTTTGATCGCTTGGAAAGTAAAGTCGAATCCTTGCTCGGTCGACCTGCTCCTGAACCTGATGCTCCCTCATCAGACCTAGAGACTTCTTTCACTTTAGAGAGCAATTGATCAACTTCCAGTGGGGACAACACCTCTGCTTGTAACCACTCTCCATTTTCCCTCTCGAAATGAGATTTGTTGCGGCTACAAGCTATCCATTTTCCCTTCAATCTATACAGAAAACCGTACATGGTTGATTTGATCTTCTCTTGAATTTCCTCTGGAATGTCCAATTGCTGGATACCGTGATATTCAGAGAAAAAAACATGCATCTCCCAAATGGGACTTCAGTGTTGGATAGATTCCCTGAAGACCTGATAGCTTCAGTTAACAGCTTTCTTGGTATGGATTCCATGCTGAACTCATGAAATTATTGAATGAAATTGACTTGGTCCCGATATTGCGTTGATACTCAACTAGAGACAACTTGCAATTAACTACTGGGCTTTCAAGGGGTTTGGCTTCAAATCGGTTAATTCAAGGACCTGCAGCCTTGTCACTGGATCACACACGTCAAGAATCACTGACAGTTAGGGACTTCAAATACACGTATATTTGATTTTAAACAGATACCCCATGCTTTTCTCTGGATGACAATGCTGCTTGGTTGAAAACGGCATGGGAATACACCATGCCTCACTACGAAGCCATTACAAGTGTTTGGGGGTCACAATACGTCAGTACTCATGGGTAGTTTGGAACTTAAATGAGTGCTTGATTTTTAAACAGGTATCGATGGGCTAGAAATGTATGCAAAACGCTTCTTCTAATCGTTGTTGTTGACATGTATTTGGTTTTCTGTCTACCTTATAACGACTACAAACAAATGAAAGACGACCATGTCTACAGAGCGTGTTGTATTTGGCTGTAGTGGTAGACGCCTCGAGGGAAATGCAACTTGTCACACGCACACGTCGTTACAGGCGCGTCGGAGCATTTCGCGTACCACTTTAAAATAGAATATCTTAAAAAGTCGCGGCCAGTTTTTTTTAATTGTTCCTGAAGGTTCAGGCTTTTGGAAAATATAAGAGCTAAAGCGGGAATCGGCGGGAATATGTATTTTCTTTGCGTGTGAAAAATGATGCAAATTTTAAACGAATTTTATCTGACATTTGGAGCTTTTTCAGACTTTAATCCTAAAGTGAACAGGTTATGAATCTTATTTTCATAAAATATAGTTTGTAAACAACATCCAAGCCAATTTCCATGGCGTTATCTTTTGTATAGCGACCACGTCGGCAAGTTAAATTAGACGTCAAGTTTTATTACTCACATTAAAAATGTCCCTTTTGTAGTAAATAAATCAGAATATCGCCCGTGATAAAGATTTCCGGTCGTTAATTTGTGCATGTAAAGTACCCGTTGACCATTGGAAACTAAAAAATACCCAGCATTGATTTTTGAACCAATCATCTTTCATCTATTTTGGCGCAGTTTGACCTTGAACTGGCCCGCTGTGCGTCGGCCGCCCGTACGGATCGTCATTACCAAAAGCTAGGGATGATCAAATGGCCCATCCGTTGGATAAAAGGGAAATGGGGGTCGGATTGCCCTCTGGGAAGAATTGAAAAGGTGAAAAAAAGAAAAGAAATAAAATGGAGTACACGGTATAGACTAATCCGATCAGACACCCTAACTGCGGTGGCGCCGCACTCACACGAACATTCTTCAGCTTGACGCGCGCGTGCATTTGGCAAATCACGACACCCTGTTGGTCGAAGAGGGCATGTAACGCGTAGGTACCGCCTGTCCACGAGCGTTGTGCCACCGCAGTGATGGTTTCTAATTCTGGTGGTCGAATTACACTACAGAAATAAAAATTTGGGTGCAAATACCTAGGAACTGAACCCCTCCTCTTTTTTTCACTGTGAATGGTTTGTCATTAAGTCAGTGAGCTTTTCGCGCGCTCCGCAGGCCCCCTTTCATCTGGAGAGATATTAACACCCTAAGCTATCAGCCTGTCTGGTCTGACTAGTCCATTGGTCAGTCCGTCGATCCCATGCACGTATTATTTATTATGCAATCTATTCTTTGAAACTTACTGCATAGAGAGATTCCGGGAGGCAATCTGGACAGAGACTGACGACGACAACGATAATTGCCCAAGGCAGCCAGGTGATGACCATCGCGGCGATGATACTGCCGAGTATCCTGTTGGCTCGGTTGTTCTCCACCCGGGCTTTCCTCTCCACGTCGCGCGACCTAACGCCTCTGGATAAAAACTGTGGTCGCCTTGACAAGGTTTTGTTGGGTTTGTCCACTTCTTCAGGTTTAATCTCAAGCGAAGTTCCTTGATCTGGGACAGCTTTGGTCGGATCGGTTTTCGGAAATGTCGGGGCGGAATTATCGGGCGGGTTGGTGGGTTTTAAGTTGTCTATGTTCTTGTCTCCACACCCTGATGAGCTGCTGTGCGATTGGTGATCTGTCCTTTCCGTGACATCGCTACTTGACAGGTCAGAAAAACCGACATTATCCAATCCTTCCATCGACGATTCGCGGAAACTCAACATGAAGTTGGGCTGCTTCTGGTTTGAAGGTTCGTTCCCTGGTGCTTTTGTGTTGGATGTTGCTGATGAGTTCTCACCGTTGCTGGGCTTTACGTACCGGCTCAAAACCACTTTCTGTCTTGCCTTTCTCTGCTTCGTCTCGGCCACAGTCTTACGGATCCTCTTATAGACATGGTAGTAGAGCACGATCACCACTGAAACAGGCAGCCAAAAAAATAGCACAGGTGCTGCAATACTAACGGCTCGGCTTTCTACATACTGGGGCTTACAGGTCCGGGTTGGGACGTTTCGTCCGCCGGCAAAGACAGGCCAGAGCACGGTGATGGGCAGCCAGATTACGATCGGCACCAGGTAACTCAAGGTGATCAGTAAAGCCGCGTTGCGTTTGGTTCGCCACCTACGCCGATGGAAGAAGGGCTTGCGAAGAGCAACGAAGCGGTCCAAGCTGATCACGACGGCCGAGACCACGGAGAAGTGACTGAAGATGTGGTCGCAAAAGACGAAGATATCGCAAAAGATTTCCCGAAGGGCCAGTGGCCTAGGATGAAGACGGCACCGTACAGGGGCATGTCGATACAGCCAACCAACAGATCAGACACTGCCAGGCTTAGGATGAAACACTGGTTAAAACCCTGGAGGTCTTTGTTGCGGCAGAAGGATACAATGACCAAAATATTCCCGGTGATGGTCAGGAAAACCACAGAGGAGACTACCGTTGCCAGCACCACCTGAACAGTGCACGGTAAATGGGGCAACGGACGCGTGGTTGCAACCACCGACTGGGCGTCGGTGAATGTACCCACGGAGTCATGATCGTTCAAGTAGATAGCGTCAGTTGTGTTGACCATCTTGAGCAGAAGATGTTGGACGTTAGAGACAGAGAAGTAAATGAAGAGGAAGTGCCGTGAGGGAGAGACGTATGCCTCTTGTCGATCTTAGATTATTTCTTGCTCCGTGTGCAGATACAGACAGAGCAGTTACATTTTTATCCAACTCAAATCGGTCTCGGAATGAAGAAAATCGAACGATAAAACTTTGCTTTTCAAAATGTTGTTGGAGAGGTCTTTTTTTACATACACCTGCGATTGAATGCATTTGTTCGTTTACGGTGTTTTAACCTTTTCAGATTCGTCACGTTGTTGAAAAAAAAAAGATTAACTAAAGGTCTGCTTGGTTTGCCTCTTGCTTACTAAACGCCTACGAGCAGTAATGGTTCATCAGCTAAGAATGACGTATATACGCTTTGTTGCAAAAGCCGTCAAGCGCTCCATACTAATCGATTTCCCCCGAGTGCTCCGCAGTCCCGCAAGATTGGAATCGTTCCTGCGGTAAACGTGTCAGATGCCATTTGGGATGGATTATGTTTCAGAATTACCGGACTGATCCCTCCAATTACTGCAACTTCAGTTGTAATTCACGAGTGTAAATCGCTTTTCAAAAGTGTGAGGGGGGCATAACTTCATCTAAAGCGAGCGCGAAACACAAAGCCTTAACAATGCGGGGTCCGAGGCCCGCTTGAGGGCACAAGAAATTTAGGGTTTTGGTTGTTTTTAGTGCAATATGAGGCAATTTCTGACCATTTTTAAATATTTTTTAGTGAATGCTTACAAGATTTATTTCATTTCATTTTTTAAAATGTGGAATATGAATCAAAATAATGTAGGCCTGCTTACCCTTCATTTTTAAATTAAGGTCTGGAAAAAATGGAGGGGGAAATGATATGATATCCCCCACTTTAAAATGTGGACGGAACATGTCCCCCTCCCCTATCTGGGTTCGATCGATGGCCATATCTTTATCTCCAGTTCAGTGACTGGACAAGAACGGGAATAGCTGGGTCTTGAGTGACTGTGCATTCACCGTGATTACACCCTCCACTGTCTTGCCGTCTCGCCGGTGGACATAACGCAGCTTAATTCAACTCCCCGCCCAATACGAAGCGAGATCTAGTATGCGAAAACTTGGAGAAGCATGTGGATCGATACTAAACCTCATCTCCAGTGACGCTTACATCTGTCCTTGGTTATAAATTACTATTTTCCAAATAGTATTGCTCATGGAGCTTGAATTCAGATTGGTTTAAGGGAAATTGCAGAGATACACAGATGGACTCAGCCACGAAAATCAAATCCACCGGTGGCTTATGATCTTTTCCGCCCTCAGCAGACCTAGCATTATTTTAACAGTAGGGCTGAATATCCGAATAACCGAATATTCGATCGCTTATCAAATATTCGAATATTACTTTTCGAATTTGAATATTCGAATGCAAAATTCATGAAAGGAAAGGAAGATTTTCTTTTAAATGAGAAAAATTGCATATGGAGGCTTGTTTCAAGCAGATTCAAATGAAAAGCTACAGAAATCTTACAATGATTCAAAAAGTAAATTATTCAATAAACAATTTAAAAGGAGTAGAGATTTACAACAGGAAAAGAAGCACTGTTCGTCTCTAAAACCTTGCTAAATCGTGGCTGGAGATACTCCCAGATGTGAGAAGCTCTTATATTGATCATAATGTTCAATTGTGTGCATTATTGCTACTGATTTTGTATACAGTTTGTTTATCAACAATCTGCCAGTCGGTACTACCAAATACTCGGATATTTGATCAAATTGAAGGTCGAATATTCGAATAGTGAATATTATTCGACTTGGCTCAGCTCAGCATAAAAAGCCAAATCTTCACGTGAAACGAATTGTTCTTTGTTCAAGTCTCTTAAAGTTTTCTTGTGTAGCGTGCACCTTAATTGAACATTGGGTTAATGGTAAATTTCTTTTTAAAGATGGGATTCCAGAGAACCCCACATCAGTATATCTTATTATGTTTGTTTTAGCTGTGCAGTAATCATGACTTGTGTATGGATATTATTCTGCCATTTTATGATATGACTTTGGATAAAAACCCTTGCAAACCAAAACATTTCATACCCTCTATTTTTTCCACCTCCCACATCTTTTTACCCGCTTTTGTACGTTCATATTCTTTATTTTTAACTCCATGTTATTTACGAATTATATTATTAGCTTTTCCATTAATTATATAACCGGCGGACAAGCCCCGTCACATCATCGCGAGATTCTTAATATCTTAGCGAGCACCACTCCTGGCGGAAGCAAAGGTAGCTCTCAGCACTACACTGGGATGTCCATCTTACGTGATCTACCAGCTGTAGATGCCTTAAAGATGACTTCATTGCGAGACGTCAGTGAAAAGGGCATATGACCCTGGCCACCATCCTGTTTTTCGAAAGGGCGAACCCTACATCCAGGACATAAAATTCACATCTTCTCCAACCTCCCCAGCCCGTTCAATTCATCCATCAAAGCTGTGTGTTCATTTTATATATCTAAGTTGATTTTCCCGGTCCATGTAAATTGATTCCCTCCTAATATCGGTTGACGCATTCAACATTGTTCTCAAAACTCATAGTTAAGGAGGCTTTTTCCAACACCGCAATATATCTCAGCTAGTGATGGGTATTGTCAAATCTCACATCTTACAGATACAGTGCACCCAACACTTGATGGTTGCATTTTACAATTTAGTTCAATGGTGTTACGAAAATGAGTTAAAGATGAATACTGAAAAGACCAAGGATATTATTATTGATTTCAGAAGAAATCTCAGTAACATCCAGCCACTGTGTATCCATCATGGATCTGGGGTAGAAAGGGTTGATCCCTTTAGATTTTTAGGCGTACATATGACTAACGATCTGAAATGGACAACCACATGTTGATTTCTTGGTAAGGAAAGCCCAACAACGTCTGTTTTCTCTCAGAAGACTGAGGAGTTTCCGGGTCAGCCAAGGTCTGCTGGTGAAGTTCTGTTGGGTAGTGGTTGAGAGTGTCCTGACATTCTCAATCGCTGTCTGGTACGGGAACACCACAGTGGAAGACCGGAAACGTCTCAATCGCGTTTTAAAACTGTTAGCATTACAACTGGCTGTAAACTACCTGCAGTGGAAGAACTTTATGAGGCAAGGGTCTTAAAGCAGTGAAAGTCAATCGTTTCAGATGGATTCCATCCTGCGAATGACTTATTTCAGCGGATGAGATCAGAATGATAATACCTTACAGATCAATTCGCGCAGATTCGACTCGAACCTTGAACAGTTTTTACCCAAGTGCAGTTCATTTATTGAATGTACAGGTAAAGGTACAGTCAAAGTCCTAATCAGTGATTCATCAGATTTTATTGTTATCTTAATCTAATTTTATTTATCACTCGTTATTTTACTCATGCTATCTGAAATTATTTGTTGTAGTTTTGATGTAAATTTTTGTAGCGTCGTTTATTATTGTTTTGTATTTACATGTATTTTTTGATTATCAAGTTTTTAACAGTCGCAAAACCACAACGAATTTCAATGTATTTCAATAACTATGTTGGATACAAATGATATTAAATAAATGAATGAATGTACCAGCAACGGTTTTGTCGACATTCGCTGTGTCAAATAAATCGACAGTCCCGGCTATACCCTTTTGTAACTCACCATTAAGGGCAAGTCAATTTGCATCATGGGCGATTCCTGCTTAAGTGTGTCGTCGTATAAGCAACAGGAGTCTCGACTTGCACCTCCAAGATTACTTGTGTGTGAACAAAGACAAAGTGGACTGGTGGGGAACGTTGCCCTGTATGTACATAACTCTGTTACCCTCATGAACTAAATGACCTCCCGCTAACAGTTCCGACTGTGATTCCATGTTTATTGAATTCTCTCGTTTTCAGAGTACAAATACTATAGTTGGCATAATTGAAAAACTACCAAATGAATTTGTCGCTACTTCGACAGCATTCTCGTAAATATCAGCAAAGAACATAAATTATTTCTTATAATGGGTGATCTTAATATTGATATTTTGAAAAATAACAGCCGCAATCCAACCCCATATTGTATCAAATCTGACAAAAAATATTTCTGGTAAATTCATTTTCAGCCTTCAGCTAAAGTTTAACATAGAATTGCACGATACTCTAGATTAAATTAAACATACCCAACGTGTTTATTAATATTAAGGTCGAGGTTTTATGTCTGTACCTCTGTTCATTCGAGCTGAGCTTATTTTCTTTCATTTTTGCAAAATCAATAGTTGTTGGGTGGCATGTGAGACTTGATTAAATTTCAATAATATTCGAAGGAGCAAGAAATGTAAAGCTTGCACTATGGGAGTCCTTCGAGAGCTGATTAAAAATGTATGGACATGTACACTGGCCAAGGGATAAAAGGGACATGTGACTTTATTCATTGAAGCATTCGTTTGTATTTATCAGGTTGGCGTCGTCCGTCATGGATCAGGTGGAATGAATTCAGCGCCATTGTGACCCCCCCCCATCGTTGCTCTTGTCTTGTATTTTTCCGGCGTATACCTTACAGAGAATGCGTAGTTTGTACATTATGGTGATATTCATTGGGATGACTGCTTTTAGTGAGAGAGAGACCTATTCTATGGCCAAACATTCAGTTAAACGTTTTTCATGGTTTTCAGCACTCGCAATCAAGTGGATAATTTCTACGAGCTGCTAGGAGGCCACTTGATACATTCCCAGTGCAATTTCTCGGACAGGCCTTGCCACCGCCTTAATTGGCTGTATTCTCCATAGGCAATAATCATTACGCGTTTCATTGGAGTCATAATGCACGAAGCCTAATAATGAACTTGGGACTTAATCCACTCGCTTTTTATCATAAACCTTAAATGGCCTTTCACTTATCCTGCTGCCTTTAATTGACTGTATTCGCCTGTGTCGAGAATCATTATTCATTCGTACGACCGACCTCACAAGCAACGGCATTATTACAAAAAAAATGGTTGGACCAAAATAAACTTCATTTTTCCATTCACCTGAGGTCAGTAATCTTGAAGGCTGTGATTATGAGTTCCGAGCTGAATCAAGAGAGGGTGCACTTTTCCTAGCAACGGAGGCTTCTTTAGTGGGAAGTATTGATCTCCATGAGATTGATGATTGGAACTGTACTTCGCTGGTTCGCGAACGACTATATAAAATGCACGCCTTATGGTCGCGTCACTACTAACAAAACGAACGCTCCCCCAACAGGGTTCAACCTATTGGGGGTTGCACCTGTTCAAAGCGGAAACACGCCCTCCTTTCCACGTGGGACATCCCTTGAAGTACTAACGTCTGAACATAGAACTGCATTGGGGATTTCACATTAGCGCCCTCTGTGCATATCCGCAATGAAACCGAGGCTTCTAATTCTGTGTTGAACTTCGTCGCCTGCCCGCGGAGTCGACACACTAAATGCAGTATCCGGTTAGTAAGTGTGACGCCACGCTATTTCGCGGTAAATTGGCCTTATTTTTTCTTTTGATTTTACGTGTCGAGTCCGTCCTGAAAGACTCTTCCACAAAAATTTGCAGCCTGAAAAGTCTGAATTTACCCCACCTTTACGTATTTTGTGTCTTGACTCCTTACTTTCAATCGTCTGATCGTATTAAGAATTGAAGCTGACACAAACAGCCTCGTTTTCAAACGCGGAAGTGCGCAGATCGACGCTAAAAGCGTCGTATTGGGACCCCTTTATAGCTCTATGCGTCTGAACAATTAAGTCGAAACAGCATCCTTCCTTGCTTTGGTTGAATGCTGCAGCTCACATGCCCACCGATGGCAGAGGGTTCGGTGATGGGTGACTTTTGTTCAAAATAATCCAAAGGGCGTATCCAGAACCAAATTTTGAGGGGGAGTATGTATGTAACCTTTATGACCTTTTTGAGGACTAAGGCTACTTTTTGGTGCTTTTTACGATCTGTTGGGAGGGAGAGGAAATAGACAGACATTGCCTTTCTTTCAATGTTAAAAATTGCCCGTTTTTTGTGAATGAAGCATCCCCACCCCGCTCTCCAGATCCACCCTACTTTTTTGTATAGTCGATATCCACGGCGCCGTGTTGGTTTCACACAGATCTGGATCGTGCCAGTGATTCGTTGTTGGTTTACGGACACCAAAACGCGCCTTATTGGTGGTGCGAACCATCGTCAGGATCATTGATCCAGATCCAGATCCACATTAACACGTGGACCAGTGGTGTGGTCGAGGTCCCTGACACGCACGTGCTAATGTTCAATGTACATGTACTGTACGTACATAATTTACCATTGAATCTGGTCATGGCTTGGAGTAATACCGGAAGAATGATGGTATCCAGATGTTGTGTTTGGGTTGTACGACAAGGGATCTGATTCTTCAGATTTCCCAAGTAGCGAAGAAAGCAGCGAAGTGAATTGGTACATGCACATTAATATAAACATCAGTAGGTTTTCACAAATTCACAGGTTGGCTCCATGAACACAAACGATGTAATTTATGCTACTTGTGATGGAGGGGCCATACTAAGAAACGGCAATCTCGTGCGCACAGGAAAAAATCACTATTATAAAGTTTTCACGGAGCACTAAAAATCCCACTTAGATTAGAAACTAAAAGCAAAAACGAGTTAATGGGATTTTCTGAAGAAAAAAACGAACAAAGCCAGAAAACCTGAGAGAAATGATCATCAGAGTCGCGCCCCGGCAAGAAGTGTGAGCGGGCAATTGAACATGTACAGCCCTGTGTACATTTTCAATTGCCCGCTCACACTTCTTGCCGCCAAGGCCATTTGTGCGCATATGCGAGCATATTACGAATTTATTTAGTGCCCTTAAATGTCACATGACTCTGAACCTGATGACGTCGTCATCATATAATGTCATCTTCGTCGATAACACTTCCCTTTCTAGCAATCTGCAAAGCTTCATACCAATGGGACCTGTACTTCAGGAAATAATACGGAATTAACACATGCACCTTTCACGACGTCATTCTCATATCAGGTCAATTCTCGTCTACAACACTTCCCTTTCTAGCTATCTGCAAAGTTTCACGGTGGAACATTTCATGCAAAAGATAGGGTGGACCTTAATTACTGGACACTAATCTTCAATATTACAGACAGAAAATGTTCGTAACCTACAGGTTCACGACCCCGTTCACGGCTCTTGAACACATAGGAAGGCAAAAAAACAAAACAAAACAAAATCAAAACAGATGGCCACTTATGTAAAACCTTATGCGTCTCCTGTATCAAAAAAGCAGAACAGCAGAATTCAAGGTTGTCAAAACGTTCGATCCTCCTTTCTGCCTGTCCCAAAGGAGAAAAGCAGATGGCCACTTTTCGGCCGCAAGTGAACGAGGGAAAAGTAAATCTGATTTTCTGGTTGCAGAAAAGCAGAAAAGTAGAAAAGTGCATCACACACAAAAAAAATGTTTAGTCTGCTTTTCAGGTAGCAGAAAAGTAGAAAATTGTATGTTACAAGGACGTAAATCTGCTTTTCTGCTCCTCTGAAGGTAGAAAAGCAGATGGCCAATTTTCGTCCTTAATACTTACTTAGCCGAATTTCGGTGTTGTAAACATTGTGCATTAAGAATATCAATAGAGGGCGCTATTAGCTGTGGCCGGCAACCACGAGCACAGCATCGTGATCGCTTTGACACCCTTTTCGGGCGTTGGGCGGGAAGGGCTGATGGCCTTGCGCAGAGTTTAGCGAAGGAAATACGTCGCACGGGGTCACAACCAACGACACGCAGAGTATTTTGGTAAATTTCTGCCAGGCGTGCGAGCTCGCTCAACGTGGGGATTAATTATTATTCGACATTTTTTTCTTTTCTTCCTCATTGCTGAGAATATTCTCACTTCACTTTATTAGTTCACCCAAAATTGATCAAGATAACCATAACCAATGATTTGAAATTATTGCCAAAAGACACGTGATCACTGATACTTAACGAGAAGATAAATTACCGTGAGAGGATCAAAGCTATATTTTTTAAAAATCATTTTAGCCAACACTTTGACCTGTGTCAAAGCATTGTCAACGGCAAACCAAAAACTCAAAACAAGGCTTCCCAACAGGAAGAGATAACCTCGCGGTCGGAGGTCATGCACAAAGAAGCCCTTCCCAGCGCCCTGTTTTGGGCGCTGGGAAACGAGTGCAGATCCGAGAGAATATGGAACGGCCTGCCCCGGCCATCCCGTCCCTCGCAGTTGACAATTAACCCGTATTTACAATGTAAGCGAGTATGGGTTTATGATTTAAGTTACAGAAGACACATTGAACATTTCATACCCTACAAAAGCTTTCTTTTAAAAATTATTTGGCTAAGTTGGTGTAACATTTGGGCTGATTTTTGGACTAAACAGCCAGCCAGCCAGCGAGAAAAATTAACTTTTCTCCAATCTGAAAAACAGATTTATTTCTCTTTTAAGCCAAACGTTTTGACGGCAAGTTATTTTTTACTTATCATCCCCTGAGTGGCATGCAGGTCACCCTGTTTATGTAGCACCGCGTCTAGACCCGGCCTTCGAACCAACCCCCAAAAAAATGTTATTGCAGAAAAACAACATATGAAAACCTCGAAAGGTCTGCTGAGAAGCAAATGTCAATGCAAAACTGATCAAGAACCATTTTTTTAGGGGGATGGAAAATGCTTTGTAATTCGTAGTACGCTGGTGTCCGTGCGCTTTCTTTTCGCAGACACCAGGCGCCACCTTGCGGCCAAATATCTTCTCGCGCGCTCTTCCCATGCTGGTATCCACTCGTTTCTGTCTAATGCCTTGTACGATAAATTTACTGACTACCAGCGATACCGATTCAACAAACTGGCTAAAAATGTACGTGTACATAGTGCACTGTATGAGAAACGTGTACGATATGAATGGCTTTCCAGTGACTGAAGGCCTACACGTAAGTTTAGCCGCCGTGCCCCGTGTGAGTCTTCGCCCCGGCTCGAGCTCCCGGTCACGTCGTGTCCGGCGGTGACGTGAGTACGATAATACCGACACTGAAATCAACATGGACGAAATGACCGACGGAGTCAAGACTCTGAATCTCCAGCGGGCTCTTTCTGGGGGATTTGGTTTCTCGTTGATGGGAGGGAAGGGGACCAGCTTCCCTCCAGTCATATGTGACGTCTTGAGCAATTCGCCAGCCTCGAGGTGTGAGCAGGTGAGGCAGTATTATCGGGGGCGGTGACCAAATCACTGAATGCGCCCCGAGCATGTCGAGCATGTCTGGCAAATGCAGGACTCCCCTTTAAATCCTCGTCCCTGCATCATGTAGCCCCAGGATTGGGCTATTCAATTTCAACTGGACAGTCTCCGTATCCTTGGCCCTACCCACGAAGATAAAAACCTTCTGAAAAGGGTTTGCGTTTTAAATTGAACAATTTTTGAAAGGCACTGCCACGGGGCATGCTGGTTATGCTGGATACTAAACATGACAATGTACCCTACGTGTTGGATGAAGCCACAGTAGTCAACAAACTACATGTACATGAACTGGCTGTCCATATGCAAAATACATCAGACTTAAGTGTCAGTTTGATTTCAAAAGGGTGATGTCACCACCTTAAAAAGGCATTTATGCGAAAATTTTTGTATTTTGAATATCATTTTGTTTTACTTTTTTGTGGAATGATGTTACACACTTTCTTCTGCGAATTTGTCTTAACCGCCTTGCATGCCCTTGGCGTTCATCACAACTACATGTGTATGGGAACTAGGTACGGATATAGGCTTGCCAAAGTTCTAAATATGGTCCACTCTCATAACAAAGCTGTGGGGACCAGACATAACATTAATTAGGACTTGTTACAAAAGGAATGAAAATACAGGAAAAAAAAGAATGGTATTTTGTTGCGGTGTTCTCTTATATAGGGAGCTGACAGTACTTAATATGCTGTGTGATGTTGATTTGAAAGTGCTGTGCAGGTGAACGAGAGATGTGGCTGAAGGGGCAGGTAGATATGTACATGTACTGTACTGTGTATAACGAGGGTGATGCATGATTGTGACCTGCTTTTCCACCTACTGTGTGTTGGAAGGGGATGGATTATGGTTGAAATAATACATTTTGTGATGAATTTTGAGAACAACCTGAACTTATGTTGGTGTTTTGAGTGTGAACTCTTTTATGGTTAATCTTTTCAGGATGACACATTTTTATGTTGATGTCACCGTTCCATTGGTTTCTTATGAAGGGGAATCGGTGAAAAAAAACCATAAAGCTACATGTATAAAAACTAGAGCGCCGCTGACTCGTACATGTACAAAGTGATGCCTGCTGGGCGCACCCATGTTTGAGCACAAACGTATGGAAAACTCAAAATTTTGTACGGCCTTTGTACAGCTATTTGCATCTGCGTCTGTATTCTAAAATGATACCTCAACAAAGCCCATACACAAAAACCTAACTTGCAATCAGTAAATGAACGTCTCATTTTGCTCTGTGTAAACAATGCCTACGCGTGCACGTAAGCGCTGCATATAATTTTGCTGTGACTTTTAAAATTTTATTTCAGTGGTACGCGATGCACGTTGCTTTTAGAGTAGGCTACATAATTCGATTTTCATTCTATCTGATATTTAATGTTCTACAAGCGCGCACATGGATTCAAAAAGGTCTGCACCTTTGACAGCGTCAAATTTTCTCAGTGCGGAGAATGAGACGTTAGCGCTCCAGTAATTCAGTATAGCTCTTTGGAAACAACTCACCTTTCATGCACTGTGGACACTCTTTTTAGGCTGGATTTTTGTGGATGGTTCCTTGACTGTTCCTCTTCCTTTCATTTCAGATAATCCTAATCCCAAAATGCTCACGAAACTGTCTTCCTGAAAGGGAAATCCTTGTGTGGACGTGGCTTTGTCCACTCAGGGTTCACGCAATCTACATTATGTGGACCTCTTCTATAATTGTGTCCATGCTTCGCACTTGTATGTTAGGTTGGTACACATTTGTATCGTGAACCGACGGTACCTGTGTACCATGTATGTATGTTTACATTGGACATGTACACGTACTTATTGCTTGACATTGATCGTACACGTAATGTATTGATGCATGCTTACAAAACAAAGACAATTATTTCTTCACATCTGCTTCACATTGGAAAGGAACATCTCTTGAGGAATTTGCTTTTTAAACCCACTATTGGAAAGGAATCTCAAAATAATGCCTCGGTGGACTTTTAAAGTCTCATTTGATAGTGGGGCCCTATTCATAGGAAGCCATTTTAATATGTGTTCCCAGAATCCGTCTATGCTCAATGCAGTCTGTCAAATAAGTGGTGCCAGACAAACTGTATTTGGGATTGCCTCACTTTCAATTTCTAATTAAACTATGGCTTCAAACGTTTTGATATAATTAATCACAAATTTCAAATCGTTTAGAAAATTATCAAAAAATAAATGGCATTAGCTGACCCTAACCTGCCCTAACCACACAGAATTCATCACCAGTAAAGTGTGTGAGTTTGTGGCATTGGGTACTGGT